AGGAGAAAATGAAGGACATTTTGGATTGATATCCAAAATTTCTAACCGTCATGTAATTAAAGTTCCAGAAACAGTAGAAATAATGGGACAGAAGAAATATCAGAAAGGAAATGGATTAGAGCCCCCCCAAATGATGGATGACATCAACCTACAGATTGCAACTAAGTAAATCTCATGCAGAATGAAGAGGAAAACTAGTCTAGGCGTATCATATTGAGACTACTCAGACAAACTATAAGGAAAAAATGCACTGAGAACAGCCAGAGAAAAGAGACTTCATATTTAAGAAGAACATCAACAAGAATTGAACGCCTTCTCATCAGAACCAATAAAGTCGAATGGCTTTCTTAAAAGGATTTGATCATAACAACAACAAACATTGCCAGCTTAGAGTTCTATGGCCAGTAAAAAAATATTTGTTAAAAATGAAAATAAATTAAAGTCAGAAAGAAAGCCAAGGGAATATATCACTAACAGATCTATAGTACAGGAAATGCTAACGAATGAGACAGGAAACTCCAGAGGAAGTTCTCAAAGCTGAAGTGACCCATTATGGATATACAGACACACAAAAAAGAATGAAGAGTACCAAAAAGGATAACTTACATTACTGTTTCATTTTTCTTTTTCTTTCTTTCTTTCTTTCTTTTTTTTTTTTTTTGGTTTTGAAACTTTAATGAGGAAAAAAAATGATATACTATGGAGCTCAAAAACCCTGTAGCCAGAGTGTCACTGGGTCAAGGACTGGGACTACACACTGCCAAACTAGCAAACAGAATATATGTAACAAAAATACACACGGTCACAAAACGTAAAACTGGTGCCTGACACAGTTAAGTCTCGGTTTCCTCTTCGTTCAGCAGCATGTTGGGGATCCCGCAGCTGATGGAGAACACACGTCCAGACTCTGGGCATTGCAAGGTGCCCTCCAGCAGGTCCACCTCCAGCAACAGGTGATGCATCTTTCTCAGAAATGTCTCCTCCTTCACGTAGCCCTCAATCAGCTCTTTTGGCACCTCCACCAGGTACAAGGCATAAGCCGCCTCCAGAAGCGCCGCCCACTCCACACGGGTATCATCCTCGCTACTTAGTGGGAGTTGAACTCCACGGGGTTGATTCCAACTCCGACTTCGGTGGCTGGGAGGCATAGGGAGAAGCCACGAGGACCCACCCCCGGCACCTGTGAGCTCAGTAGATCTTAGGTGAACAGCTTCATGTTTCCACACGCGATCCAAGACTATTTAATTTTGAAAAAAAGTATTTTAAAGTAACAGCCATAATTATTGGAAGTATAAAAATGTGAAGAAGCACCACATAGGAATATAAAGGGGGAGGGAGAACTGTACTTTGCAAGGTCTTTACATTGTGGGGACGTTATTAAATATAAATCCAATATGGGTAGCAATGATTTATAGATCTCTGGAAACCATTAAAATATAACACAAGGTACAGCTAAAAGACAAGGGAAGAAAACATGGAGTAATAATATCTTTCCCGTTTTTTATAATTGCCTCTTTGAATATGTAGTAGTTACCATACACTTAAGGTCTAATTTTAAACCCAGTGGTGTTTTCCCAACAAAAGTAGCTGTGCCACAGAGTTGCATTCTATTTTCCATGTAACATTTTCCTGGTATTGTTTTGGAATAAAAAAAAAAATACAAACAGCTGATAAAGCCTAAACTGGATTTTCTCCTAATATGGTGAGGAATGAAGCTGTAGATTAAGGATCCTGGCTGGATGGGCTTGAGGGCCAGAGTTATATAATATATTGGGAGTGGAAGGTCAGGGCCTGTTCTCCACCCTGGGATGAAGGGGAAATACTTGGATCCCTAACTAAGAAAGTGAAAGCTCTTCCAAGGGTGCTTGTCTCAAAAATGCTGTCTGACTTCTTTGCCAAAAAAAGTACTTGATCATTGCAATTAAAGGATTCTTTGGTGGATTGTTTTAGATGAACCAGTGTGTTACTCAGCTGGTCATGACTGATATCACACATCTGTTGCAAAAGGAAAAAAAAAATCTTAAAAACCCCTTAAGAATTATACAGGGAGCAATAACTGTCTCATTATCTTGTCGAGTTCAGATGTATTTCAACCACTAGAATGGGTCCATCTTGTCCAATTATAAAGAATTCAGTGAAAAACCTCTTACCACCAAATTAGCAAATACAGCTGCCTAAAATTCTTTTTATCATAAAAAGCATTTTACATTTTTCTTAAATGCTTTAATGTTTAAAAACATAAATTGTCTCTGTTACTGTCAATTAACATCCAAACTAGAACTACTTACAATCAGGTACCATACATAAAAGGATCAATGATAAAATTCCAGAATTTTCTACCAAAGGTGATTTAGAAATCTGGGAAGGATCACCAAGGGTATAGAGAATATGAGCAAATAGGATTTTTTGGTCCTATTTATGGAAACATTATTTCCCCCCTCCTTATGTACTCTCATGCATATCACTGTGTTTTACATATGACACGGGCCATGGCTTAATGTTTAGTTAGCCTCTGCATGCTGTGACTGTAAGACCCGACAAGAACAACCTATAGGAGGAAGAGTTGACAAGAACACCTTAGAGGAGGAAGAGTTCATTTTGGCTCACAGTTTCCGAGGTTCAGTCCACAGGGGGCTCACTTCATAGATTTTGGCCTACATAAGGAAGAGAACATCATGGCAAAGGGTTTTGGCAAAGGGAAGCAGCTCAGAACATGGCAATCAGGAAGGAGAGAGGGGACGAGGAGTGTGAGATTGATCTCCACTCACCAGGGACAAAAGATAAACCCCAAAGTCAGGCCCCCAGTGAGATCCATCCTCCAGCCACACCTCACCTGCCTACAGTTACCACCAAGCTAATCCATATCAGTGGATTGATCCACTGATTAGGTTAAGTCTCTCATAATCTAATCCTTTCACCACTGAACTTTCTTGCCTTTTCTCACACATGAACTTTTGGGGGATACTCATTTCTAAACTGCAACATTACACTTGATAATAATCCACTGCTGCTCTGCATATCAAAATTTAGTTTGTCTTAAGAGAGTCATGATGCCCACAGTTGACATTACTGTGTCCTTGCTGTAGTTATCTCTTTCTTATTTAGGGTGAAATAGCTCAGACCAAACATTGGTTAAGGGGTAATATCAGCCAGAAATAAAAGCGAACTTGGAGGATGTTCTCTTTTTTTTTTTTTTTGGTACTGGGAATTGAACTCAGAGGCACTCAATCACTGAGCTACATCCTCAGCCCTATTTTGTATTTTATTTAGAGACAGGCTCTAACTGAGGTGCTTAGCACCTTGCTTTTGCTGAAGCTGGCTTTGAACTCATGATCTTCCTGCCTCAACCTCTCAAGCTGCTGGGATTACAGGCATGCGCTGCCACACCCGGCTAGGAAGAGATTCTTTGAAAGAAGTTGCAAAAATTCTCCAAATTTGAAAATTAAACAAGCAAAAACAAATCATGTGAGAACAACAAAAGAAGATACAACTGAACTCAGTCTTCATGGCTGGGGACCAGAGTGTTTCCGTTAATCAGACATTCTGTTCTTAGGAAATATTTGTCAATCATGTATCACAGAGTAACATTTTATTTTTATGTAATTCATCATAATCTCTCAGGATTTCAACATTTTGACATATGTCTACCTTAATGTGCCTCTTACTTTTAAAAATAATTATTTATTGGAAATTTTATGTTCTGAATGCTTTACGTGTGCTAATTCATTTAGTCCTGGCAGCAACTCCATAAGGAGAGTACCCCATGAAGTTACTCAAGCTGTTTTACTCCTAGATTGGCAGTGATACTGTCAGGTAGTGAGTGACCATAGGAGCCGACACTGTCTCTTAACAGCTGTACCCTATTCTTAAGGTGGGGAAATTATTCTCACCAAGTGACCAAGGGTCTCCATTCTGAGTCATAGGTTTTTCCAATTAATGTTACAGATTATTTCTTCTTTCTCACGCTCTTATAATCTTAGCAGTTAATTTTTGTAATAGATTTGAGTTTTTTTTCAACTTTAAAATATGGGAAATAGACATATAATTTACCATTTTAAGGGTGTAGTTCAGCTGCACTGGATGCATTCCTGATGCTGTGCAGCTATCACTACCAGCCTTCTCCAGAACACTTCTCATTTGATCTGAAACACTACCCATTAAACACTGCTGTTCTTTTCCCTCTTCCAGCCCCTAATAATCACTATTCTACTTTTTGTCTTTATGGATTTGACTACTCTCAGTGCCTCATAAATAGGATCATATAGTCTTTGTTCCTTTGTGACTAGCTCACTTCACTTAGAATAATGTCCTTGAGTCTCATCCACGTCAAAACATTTGTCAAAATGCTCCTCCGGTTTCAGGCTGAATAATATTCTACTGTGCATGTACACTATAATTTGCTGATCTATTGCATTGTACCACCTTTTGACTATTGTGAATAATACTGCTGTGAGCATGGTTGTACAAATATCTCTTTTGAGTCATTGCTTTCAATTCTTTTGGGAATATATCCAGAAGTGGAATTGCTGATCATATGGAATATACTTTTTAAATTTTTTAAGAAACACCACAGTGTGTTCTAGAGAGGTTGTACCATTTTACATTCACACCAAGAGTGTACAAACGTGCCAGTTTCTCCAGCTCCTTGCCAACATTTCTTGTACTAATGGATGTGAGAACAAGTACTTTGTCACTCCTTTTGCAATCATTGTCTTAGATACTTTACGGAAACAAGCCTTTTCCATACATATTTTGACTGATATATCTGTTTAACTTCCCATTTTATGAATGTGTGAGAATCACAAAATATATTATGGCATTGATTCCTATATGGCCACAGAATCATAATGAAGTATTGAGAATAAAATAGGGCTGCTACTGAATGCAGATGATTGCCTGGAATCCCTCTCTACCACACAAATTGTATTTAAACTTAAAATTTTGTGACTTTGTAACATCAGTATACCAATTTGCATTTACGAATATTATTCTTTCCTCAGAAAATCCATTCCTCGCTGCCGAAGAATCAACAGGATGCTCTCCAATGAATCCCTACATTCTCCTGCATTCTGCCGCTCCAACTCACAAGCCTCCGTAGACAGCACCTCCATGGAGGATTTCTGGCGGGAAATAGAAAGCATTAAAGAGAACAGCATGGGAGGGCAGGAAGAGCAGCTGCCGGCTGAGGTCAAGCCTGTGGATGGTAAGGGGACACTCCACTTGTAGCTTAAAAATCAGTAGAACTTGGCATAAGAGTTCCCTGTTCCCACTGGTTTTATCTGCTGAATTGGCTCAGTTGGCTTTTCATCCGTGAAGGAGGCTGAGCCTCAGCTGAACCAGTTGAACCCTTGTATATCACTACTTAGATTCTGTACCTCTCTGTTGATTTGATACATTACCATCAAGCAGACTGAGTATTATAGTTTT